GCGTGGAGCGCGACCTGCGCAGCCAGATGGGCTCCGAGCGCGGCCTGGTCGAGGAGTACGTGGAGAAGATGCCGAACCCCAGCCTGAAAGGTGCGGGGGCAGGGTGCACCACCGCGGCTGTGACGGCCCGGGGGCTGCGCGGGCTGGGCGGGGGCTACATTGCCTCTGCCGCCAAAGTCTCTTCCTGTCTCCCCTGCAGCGTTTAAACCCGTCGACCTGGGTGATCTGAAGAGAAGGAACACACAGGATGCAAAGAAGTCCTAAGGCGGGTCCTCCCTGTGGATCGGCTTCTCTCCTAAGGTCCTCAAGCAGATTTAAGTTGAAATTTTGTGTTGATTTCTTCCTCTGGTCTGTGCTCCCAAAAGCTCACGGGAGAGCCAGTCAGCTTTGGGGCTGGCTCTGAAGCTGCCTGAGGTCGAGGATGCTCAGCAGCTTACCAAGGCTGCCCAGAGCCTGTTGCAAAGGATTCCAGTCCCCCACTCATAGCTTTCTTTGGCCTCAAACTGTCCTTCCTCCCTTCACACTGAGCTCCCCGATCTCCCGTTCCCCTTCCGCCGCCGCTCCGGGCGCTGGGCAGGGCTGGGCTGAGCGGATGGGCAGCGCCAGGTCTGTGCACCAAGGCCCCGCAGCTGCTGGGGTGGGATGTGGGCAGAAGGGACAGTTGGGTCTTTCCCTGTGCCTCATCCGGCCTGCCTGTGCAGTTCAGGGCTGGGCAGGCTGCAGCCAGGCTGCTCCTAGCTCCACTGTGGCAGCAAGTTGCTACCTGGGCTGCCGGAGCAGATGGGCCACATCCAAGGCTGGATTTTCCGTGTGCTTAGAGCAGGCCAAGATCCCTGTGGTGCTTGAGGGGGAGTTGTTCCCCTCCCTGCAGATGGAAAGAGGTGTGGTGTCCCGCCTCAGGTGCCTGAGAGGTGCTCAGAGGGGCCCGAGCCACCTGCAGCCCCCTGGCCTCGGTGCCTCGGCAGCCCCACGGGAGGCAGCAGCTGTGGGGCTGCATGGAGCGAGGCTCGGGGGCTCCTCACCCCAGCAGCACTGCAGTTTTGTACCAATACCATTTTCCAGATACACACCCTTGGAAGAGACCTGGCCCCACAGCTCGCCCTGGGGGCCGTAGGTGGTGGAACTGTGCTGGGGGGCCTTCCTTGGGCCCCTCGCTCCTGGCAGGGCTCAGGTGGTTCCTGCATCATTGCCTGAGCTGGGGAGAGCAACTGTGCCACCCTTGCCCACCTGAGCCACGGGGCCACTCCCTGGGGAGGTGGCAGCCCCCTGCCTATCCGTGCTCCAGGCCAGCAGGGATGGGGCTGCTGGGCCTGCCCAGTGCCAGCGGCTGCGGGAGGGCTGTGGGGACTGGGGGCTGCCAGTGGGGGCTGCCAGTACCTTTCCTTTGTTGAGTCTTTAAGCTGTGCTGTTCCCTTTCCTTTCTCTCTGTGGTCTGTCACTTGAGGAGTGTTGTAAATAAACGCTGGTGTCCTTTTGGGGCTGCCTCGATGTGGTGCTGCGGCCTGGCCCTGCTCCTTGTGCTGGGGATGGGGGACAGAGAGCAGGAGCTGCCTCTGATCTGTGTTTATTTTTCGCAAAGGGGCCTGGCCTCGCACTTGCTGGGGCTGTTGATTTCCCCATGGGCAGGTGCAGTGGGCACTGCGTGCTGGCAGCACAATGCCCTTGGGCTCGGGCAGCGCTCCAGGCACCCAGCATCCCAGGGGCTGTTGCTGCACCCAGGATTTAAATGTTGAGACTATTAATACCCTTGTATCCTCTTCCCTCTCCTGCTTTAATGGCATTTAAGCTATACTTAGCATTGCTAGAATTTCTGCTCGCGTGCATCTCGACGCTTGCCATGACCCTGTTTACCTCCCATCACCAAAACATTCCTGGGGCTGCTGCCTGATTCCAGCACGGTGGGATAAGAACTCAGCCCCTGTTGCCACCGGAGCTGCCCCAGGCACGTGTACCTACAACCACAGACAGTGGGCTCGGGAGGTGACAGTTGTCACTGTCACAGCCCCTCTCCACCTGTTCTGGTGATGTACCCCATGTCTGGGGAGCCTGACAGGCCAGCAGAGCTGGCTTGAAGCCCTGTGTATGTCCAGAGCTGTGTCCATGTGTCCCAAGGGGATGGGAAGGGGGACCCATCCCAGCTGAGTGTGGTGCCCACCCCTGGGCCAGGCAGGCTACTGTCCATCTGCCACAAAGCTCAGCACCACCCCCGTGTCTGGGCACTCACCTGAGGCTGTCCCGGGGGCTGCAGTGGGGCCCCCAGGGGCACATGTGGGTCCTGCAGCCTCACCAGCCTCTGCCTTGTTTTCCTCTCAGCTCGGGCACAGTAAAGCCAGAGGCAAAGCAGCCACTTGAGCTCTAATGAAATGTACAAAACTCATTCTATAAACAGGAGATTTTTATAAAGACTGATACCAAAACACAGGGTGAGGGCAGTGACACAGTTGGGGGAGGTGGCGGGGGGTGCCCCTGCAAGGGGTGAGGCTGCCGGCCAGAGAAATCAAGCTGTTTACTTATAAAAATCGGCCTCGGCAGGGTTTATTTCCCTGTGCCTCGGACACGGTGCTCTTCATTAGATTAAAGGGTGGGAGGAGGAGAGGAACGTGTTTGTCATTGAATTAGGCAGTGAGAAGAGGCCCGGCAGCAGGCAGAATCGACTTTGCAGACCAATTTGTGGTGCTCAATTCCCTTGATAAAGTGGGAGTTTTCCTGTGAGGCACCGTGCCCTGGGGTGCCTGGCTGTGCCGGGGCGGGGGGCACTGCCCGGGTGCCCGGCTGTGCCAGGGGGCAATGGCTGGGGTGGCAGTGCTTGGGCCACTGGCTCAGAGGCGAGGAACTCCTCTGGCCCTGTTCGTTGCCCAGGGCTGAGCCCCACAGGCAGGGACTGGCACCGTGGCCGTGTGGTCTCTGTGGAGTCTCTGCACTGAGGGTGGTGAGGCAGTGGCATGGGCTGCCTGGAGAGACGGTGCATGCCCCATCCCTGGAAAGAGCATCAGGCTGGACAGGGCTCTGAGCAACCTGGTCTGGGGCAGATGTTTGTGCTCACTGTGGGTGCTGGACCAGAGGACCTTTAAAGGTCCCTTTGCACCCAGACCATCCTGTGAGTCTGGCCAGGCTGGTGGCAGTGCCTTTGTCCCACTGGGCACTGGGAACGGGCAGCTCCTACTGGGCAGCCGAGGGCTGTGCCCACACGCATGTGTGCGCTGTGTGTGCATGTGTGTGTGTGAATGCTGTGTATGTACATGTTTTATGTGTGTGTGTGTGTGTGTGTGAATGCTGTGTGTGTATGTTTTATGTGTGTGTGTGAATGCTGTGTGTGTACATGTGTGTGTGTGTGTGAATGCTGTGTGTGTACATGTTTTATGTGTGTGTGTGAATGCTGTGTGTGTACATATTTTGTGTGTGTGTGTGTGAATGCTGTGTGTGTACGTGTGTGTGTGTGAATGCTCTGTGTGTACATGTGTGTGTGTGTGAATGCTGTGTGTGTACACGTGTGTGTGTGTGTGTGAATGCTGTGTGTGTACATGTGTGTGTGTGTGAATGCTGTGTGTGTACGTGTGTGTGTGTGTGTGTGAATGCTCTGTGTGTACATGTGTGTGTGTGTGAATGCTGTGTGTGTACGTGTGTGTGTGTGTGTGAATGCTCTGTGTGTACATGTTTTGTGTGTGTGTGTGAATGCTGTGTGTGTACATGTTTTGTGTGTGTGTGTACATCTATGCATGTGTGCGCGCTCACGTGTGCGTGTGTGCATGTGTGAGCATGTGTGAGCACGCCCAGGCTGTACCCTGGGGTGGGGATGCCCCTGGGTGCTAGCAGTCAGGGTGGACATGGGTGACACCGCTGTTGGCACTGCCAGGCCGTGGCAGGGAGGGGTTCTGTTCCAGCAGTGATGAGAGAGGACACTGCCACAGTCCTGTGGGAGCTGGGTCCTTGGGCTGGGGCTGGCCCCACTCCCAGGGGGATCCCAGGGCGATCCCAGCTGCCTCCCAGCCCAGCTGTCATGAGGGGTCTGTGGATACTGGGAAGCTGCTGGCCAGCTCATGTGGCTCTATGGGAGGTGGAGGGTGACCAGGGCACGGGGCTGCAGGCTCAGCCCTGCGGCACAGGCAGTGCCCGGCTGTGGGGCACACCTGGCTGGTGCAGGTGCTGTTGGATGTGCCCTGGTGCAGGCAGACATTGGGTGCTTGCACGGGGCTCCCAGCCATCAGCAGACACTGTCCCTGCTCGGGGCTGATGGGCACCAGGCACTGTGGGACATGGGGCTGTCCCTCAGCACCAGGGGACGCAGGATGTTGCCACAGGACACCCCATAGGCTGGGGCTGGCTTGTGGTCACTGGAGGGTCCTGTCATTATGTAGCACACATGGAACCACCCTTCCTGGGCAGGGTCTGGAGATCCCCCTGTCCCCAGTGCTGTGGGACAAGCCTGGTCCCAGTGGGGCATTGGGGGTCGACAGCAGAGCGTTGCCACAGCAACACTGGAGCAACAGGCGCAGGGCCCGGCACCGCGCCATGACCATATTTACCTTCCCAGAAACTGCTTCGTGCTCCAGCAATTTGCCTCAATTAGGCTCGTTACCACGTCAGGAGGCCGCAGTGACGGCAGTGGCCATTGGGGCCAGTGGCTCCATGCGGCTGCTCTGACCACTCTGGCACTGTGGCTCTGAACAGGGTGATCCCTGTCCCCCTCTCTATCCCTGTCCCCGTTCCTGCACCTGGGGGCCTGGGCAGACCCCAGCCTCTATGTTCCACTCACGTTGCCCGCTCCGCCACAACCCCACAGTGCTGCTGCCACAGCCCTCCAGCCCCACAGCCCCAGACCCTCTGCCCCCATCCCTGCTGTGCACTTTCCCACTGCCAGTGCTGCAATGGCCCCTGGGCACTGGGTCCCATTCAGCTGGGACAGACAGTGAGTTGTCGAGTAAACAGAGGAAAATTACTGCGTGCTGAGCCGGGTGCTGCTGCCGGAGCCAAGTGCTTCATGGCCGGGGCCACAGCTGCCCTCCTCATGCCCCGCCAGCCCCGCTGACGCCTTGCCGTGGTCTGGGACCCCCACCACCCCCTGCAGACAGCATGGCTCCTGCTGTTCCTCGTGCTGGCTGGCGTGGGCGGCACTGCTGTGGCCATGGGGTGCGGGTGATGCTGGGACAGGGTGGGACTTAGCGAGAGGGTGGCTGCCCACCCAGAGCTGCTGTTTACTGTGTGGGGCTGCTGGGGCTGCCGGGG